AAGGACAACCATTTTACTCCTCTTTTATAATAAATGTATCTTATTCTATCAGGGCTGTCAAATGACAATTTGAAGGTTAATTTGTGGGTTATAATTTAACCTTAAAATTGACATTTGACAGTTTTATGACATCCCTGATAAAATAAAGTTTATTTTTTACAATAGAGGAGTAAAATGGTTGTTCTTAGCACTTTAAGGACTCTTTTAAGACTTACTATGAGAAACACAACGTTTAAAACGATTATTAATCAGTATAAACAGAGCACAAACCCAAAGCACAAAAATTGTAAACAACAAAAATGGCCGCCGTTAAACTGGGCAGTGTTGCAGTGTTTTTTTGTATTTTTAGTACGAGATAGAACAGACCTTGTATGGATTGTGGTTTTGACATTATCAGTTGTTGCGAAAGTTCTGTCAAGTAAATTTACGTTATATTTATAAAAATAACACTCTTCCAGATGCAGAAACGCATTGATAAATATAGTTTAGGGTGGCCCAAAAAAAAAAGAATATTTTTTTTCTTCTCGTCTCTTGTGAAAATATGTTGGTTTGTCATGTTTTAAGAGCCCTGTCAAAATATCAGCTCGATTAAAAATTTTGTAGGGGTCGCTCAAGATTTTTAAAAATTTTCAAAATCGTCAAAAATTGAATTTTTGTTTTATTTTAATTCCTTTTCTCGTCTCGATATTATTTTTTAGGTTGAAAATAATAAAAATTCTGTAAATTTCAAATCAATATTTTGATTGCTAAAGGTTGCTAAAAGTTCGTTGATATTTATATTCAGAGGTCGCTCGAAAACATTCAAAATACTCTACTTTGAAAGTTAAAAAAATCTTGAGCGACCTTTAGAAATTAAAATATCGATTTGAAATTTTCAGAATCATTATTATTTTTAAATTAAAAAATAATATCGGAACAAGAAAAAAAAATAAAATAAAAAAAAATTCAATTTTTGACGATTTTGGTAATTTTTAAAAATCTTGAGCGACCCCTAAAAAATTTTTAATGTTGCTGATCTTTTGACAGGGCTCTTAAAACATGACAAACCAACATATTTTCACAAGAGACGAGAAGAAAAAAAATATTCTTTTTTTTTGGGCCACCCTAATATAGTTATTATTATTTGTCAAAAAAAAATAGTTCTATACCGTTTACAAAAACGTTTTGTAGTACTAATGAAACCCTTATGGTATTATTCATAGAAATTTTTTAAATTTTACAAATCCCTTTTCGTTTAAAATAAAACTTTTTTTATAATATTAATAAAATTGATGCAAATTTAACAACAAATTAATTGTTAAGTCAATAAACTATTTTCATTGTAACAATGGTCACATTTTCAACTTTCTGTTGGGTGTTTGGTAGTTTATTTTAAATAATTGCAAGGCATTAAAACAAATTATTTATTATAACAAAAAATTAACTCATATTATATGATGTACAAAATACAAAAATCTGAACTCATTTTTTAAACAACAAGTCTGCTTCATTTATAGAATAGACCTTAAATATTTCTTTTAGAAAACGTCGAAATTTAATTTTTTTTTGATCTTTTTGATATTTTTATCATGCTAGATTTTACCACACTTCACACGCACAAGTGAAATCAATAAGATAACACAGAGTCTGTGGATTATAAAGTTATGTTCACCAAGGAGAGCGCTGGCCCTTTCCCCCTCTTTTTAAGGGAAATAACAAAAATTTTGTTACCATTGCAAAACAATAGTAAATATTAAAAAAGTCTTTTTGTAGCAATAAAATATTTTTGTTATTGTTCTTAACGTAAGCTATTAACAAAGATTTTCTAACTAAAATAAAATTAATTTGAATTACAACGATAGTAATTTAAAAAAGACAAATATGCCATAGTAAACTGAACAAATTTTACTATAACAACTGCGCATTACTATAGATTTAACAAAAACATTTTAAGTTTGACAAAGATTTAATATAAGTATGACAATATGATAACAACTATTACTTTATTGGATGACAATATAATAATAATAATAATAATAGTAATATACGTATTTAGCCTCTGCTATAAACGACAATAAGCAAAGAAAATGGTTAAAAAACTGACTGAATCCCAAATAAATTAGGTTGTGTTTGGTTTACTGTAGCCGAAAATATAGATAAGCAAGATTAATCATCATAATCTGCAAATGACAGTATAAACCACCGAAATTTTGATTGTTCCAATTTTACGGGACCAAAACATCACGCAAAAAATTTCTAATGGTGAAATTGAGCCATTCCGTGAAATACGCCCGGATGTTTTTTGTTCATGAATGAATTTATCATACTGGGTAACTTTTTATCATGATATGTCGTTATAATTACGTATCAATAAATTATTTGCCCTTTATTTTAATTTATCCATTTTAGTAAAAAGATTACGATTAATAACATTTATATTATTCAAATTAAAATTAACGGTAAAATATAAAAATTGTCAAAACAAATTCATTATACACAGGTCTAGTTAGCCCAACTATTATTTGTTTCATTTAACTAAATCTATATATTTGGTTGAATTGACTCAATATAATGTGTTACCCTAACTAGGCTTGGTACCAATAAAAATAAGATCTTGAAATATTTGGAGTGAAAACAGTTTTTTAAGCCATTTTCTTATATTCTTCAAGAAACAGGAAGTTCCTCGAGGCATTACTAGAAAAATACCAGTGGTATTATTCCAGAATTGAACCTTTACTCGCTAGAGATAATGATTTTAGTGCGTTCCACCAACTTAATAAAATACTTCAAGTATTGACAGCTGTTTCCACCTATTCAAGGTCTATTTAGTATCGAACAACTTGTAGTGTCACACCAAAGCAAAGGACTACCTGAGCTTATGTACTCTTCATGTAAGTCAACAGAGGCGAGATTTAAGAACATCACGTGATCGACACCGCCTTTGCCGCGATCGGTACATACTATGCAACCAGGAATGCACGGCAAATTGTTTTAATCGTTTTAACAGAGTGCTTAAGGTTGAAGTAACTCTTATTTTACAAAAAACATGTTTAGTAAACTGAACCATACAGCGGGTTGGTTTCAATAAAGTTTTCTGGGTTAATTTAACCAATTTAAAAAAAAAAAATAACTATCTGGTTTAGTACCGTCAAACTAATCTTTGTTTATATTAACCTTCCCACAGTTGATTTAAATAAATATGGGTCAACTAAATTAATATAGTTAAATTAACCATTCCTTTTTTTCTGTATAGTAAAGGTACACAAACTGTTCTACTCTCATAACTTTCGATCATCAGCGAAATTAACTAGTCTAATTAATGAAGGTGAAATTTTTGCGTTCAAGAACTATATGACTTAGTTTTAGAACTGATGGGGATCATTTGTCAGAGGCAGTGTATGAAATCAATTTGGAATAATAGTGCGGCTCACTTAAGCCGATGAATAGCGTATGAATAATGGTCCTTGATTTGGAAGTGCAATGTTGAAACATGTCATCATGGCGATTGCTTGTTTTGCGGCTGATTTTATTAAAAAAATATTGCCTCATTGTTTAGTTTAAATACTGCATACTTATATAAAGTAATTTTAATTAATAATTGAATGTAATAAAAGCTAATGCAGAAGTAAAAATAAAATAAAAAAAGTAAAGGTGGAATAAGTAGACGGAAATGCGACATTATGAAAATAATATAAAATATTTTAAATGCAGCACAAAAGAGAAACAATGGAAAAGAGGCTCCCCAGTGATATGGAACGTGAAATTCAGGAAAACTAAAGGAAAAGAAGTTAACAGAAAACGAATTCTATAAAATACAGACAAAGCAACAAAATTGCTTATAAACATTTAATATTTGATCCTGGTTCGTTTTTTAAATAAAAGGTGCTAAAGTTAAATATAACGTTTATTAATAGTTTCTTGACCCCAATATTTGAAAACATTATTTTTTATTTTTGGTTGTTTCACTGTTAGTCTAGAATGGGGTTTTTGGGAATCCACCAGGTCTAGTAATAACATAACATAAGTGGTTCTGCACTAATGCAAGAATTTTTAGAAATCATACATTTTGAATATTAGAGCTTCACGGAGGTTAGGATTTCGTATGTTTTTTTAAAACATCCCTCTGTATATTTGAAATAAGTTATTGTATCTTTTGACACCTTAATATTTTTTTAAAATACAATTGTACATAGTACATAAAATATTTATAAAAAAAACTAATTACTGAGATATTACACTTCACGGTGGATAGGTTTTTAAATAACAAATTAATAAACTTAAACTTTTGAATTATACAAAAGCAACACTCTCATCTGCATATAAATTCTAACTGACCTTTAGGAATCACATGCATCTATAATGTCGTAAACAGAGGTTTTTGCCTATTTAAAATGATTAAAGCGCCATCCGTTGCATAAAATTTAAAGCAAAAACAGATTCACGGAGGATAGAATCAATTTTTGTAACACCTACATAAATGGTTATAAAAATTATTTCTTTTAATTTTTAATAATACTTTATATTTGATTCGATTGCTTTGGATGTGTTTAATTTACTTAGTGAACTGATGTTTTTAGTATGCTTTTACTACCTCAGATATTTGAAAACATATAGGTTAACCTAGAAAGAGTGACAGTCACTGAGGATAGGTTTTAGACTTTTAAAAGATTGTAAAAAATAATTTATTTTGGTTAAAAATCTGGAACCTGAGCTGTAATATCTACTTAATTATGAAAGATCAAAACACAATAAAAGTTTAGATCAAACTCATTTAGTGTTAGTTAATGTTAGTTATTTTAATATTTTAAAGTATCAATGATTGTAAAGTTGTAACGGGCAATGTTAATGGTGAAAATTACGTCAAAAATGTTTATTGGGATGGTTACTAGATGTCGCTTTGTACAAATATTTAATTTAAATCATTTTTTAATTAATATTAAGTATTTGTCGTAGAAACATTGTGCAAAATTTGCACGTTTCAAGCTTGTTTGTGATTTTTATGACAAAACGGTTGTTTACAGCTAATATGGCGAATGATAATTCGGATGACGATTCAATAAGATCTGGAAGTGGTGATGAATCTGATGGTGGTTCAACGTCAAGATCTTCATCAAGGCAGTCCCATCAACTAAACAAAATTAACAAGAAAAAACCTACAGCTAAGGGCAAACATCCTAAAGTTTCAGCTGCTCAACTTGCCAAGCAACTCATTGACCTGGTTGATAAAGGTTTGTAAAGTTTATAAATTAATGATAATAATAATAATTTATTAATCACTGAATTACAACAGAAAATGGTCAAAAAGGTAAATGTATAGTGAACATTTCTACTTTAAAAAATAATTGAGACAATCTTTTCTTTAAATTATTCTATGGTGTAAAAATATTTCATGATTTTTTAAAATGCATTAAAGGGTTTTTCTTATACCATTTGGCAAATTATTATAGAGCGAATTCCCACGAAGTAAGGAGACTTTTCATATAAAAAAGTACGTAAAAAACTCAAAAAATTACAATCATGCACTTTAATTAGGTTTTCATTAAAGAATAAACATATTACAAAATGAAAGAAAAAAAATAAAATAAAAATCGTCAAAAAGCTGAATTTTGGTCTTCCACTAAAAAATTCATAACTTCGCCATTTTTTCATGTATTTTTATCAACATTAGCTTGTTTTTTTGTAAAAATGTTAGCTTCACGAAAAAAATCAAACTGTTTGATTTAAACCTTTCCCAGGGCGATATGTAAATTTTCGGCCTCAATTTTTGCCATCAAAACGAATTTTTTAAGTTATTAAAATCGCTATCGTCAAAATACTTATCCGATATCAAAAGTATGTAAAAGAAAGATTTAGAGGGCTCAAATACCTTTAATTTAAGGGCTTGTTTGACCAAATCGATCAATTAGATTTCAAGCTATACTCAAAAACGTCAAAACACCTCCATATTTCAAAAACGCTTCCATAAAAAATATTGAGTGTGATTTTCGTGTTTGGTGGGTCAAAATACATGGGAAAATTATAATGGGATTTGGTGGGCAGAATTTTTCAACATACACAAAGTTTTCAAACACTGATGTATTTGGGGAGATTATTAATAAACAATATAAATAACAAGGGACCCAGATTACTACCCTGAGGTGTTCCAATGTGCGTATTATACATCTTTGAATTTTCCTCATTAACCTTAATATAAAAATGTCTATTAAACACAAATGATATCATTCATTTATTTATATTTCGCCATATACGAAGGTTATATAGTTTAAACTGATCTGAAGTTTTTAATATTTTGTTGGTCTCCTGTTTTAGGCATTAAAATCATTACAGATAATTTGAGTTTTTCGGGAAAACTACCAAGATAAATCAAGTTAATCAAACACAATTTCAGTCGTCATATTTTTTATTTGGAATACTCATAATAGTTGGGTAAACTGTTTTACGGTTATTTGAATCTTGTTTTTAGAAATGTCGGAACCTCTGGAGTGGTTGAAAGAAAGCATTTCTGACGCTATAGAAGATTACGATGATGATGACAACGAAGGCATCCCATTGGTCCCAATAATGGATTACGCAGTAACTGCCATGGAAAATGCAGAATTTCAAAATCTGCTTAAGTCGTTCGGTGTGCTCGAACCTTTCGATGAACAGGTATTTTAATATTTGCTTAATAATAATAGTAATAATAATAGTTTTGTCCGACAGCCATTTCCGGTACAAAACTGCTTGATTCCCTAAATCCTAAGTAAGCAAACCGCGGAAATTAATTAGATTTTCTATTTACCTTTAAAATTAATTTCGGCACTTATCCAGTAGGGGTTGTTTGGATTGTATCAAACAGTGAATTGATGATTGTATTTTGATAATTATTTATTAGATTTTAACAATAGATAACTGTATACACACGCCCTCTATTGGAGGGTAGTTTAAACACAAATTATCCTTTGAGAATCCTTTACACGCAAAGAAATTTGTTGTCAAAATCAATATGAATACTATGAATCTTCTTTACAAATTGTGTTGAAAATCCGGATAATAGCAATTTGTAGTTGGAACAAATATTTTTATATGTGGGTCATTTTCAAGAAACACCCGCTTTTTTTGCTTAAATTGACTTCTGGTTGGATTTTTATAAATGTTTTAGAGTTTTGTTTACTTACATTTAAGACAGGCAGTGCACTTTTTAATTTTTTTTTTACGTTTTTTTCAGAAAAATGTGTTTAGATATCTTTATATGTCTCCACTGTGTTACCAATTTAAAAACCAACATTTAATGTATAAACAAAATCCCTTGTAGTGGTGCTCACTTGCAGAATAACAACTTGGATTTCTAAATTATAGACACCCTTTTTCTTTGACTATAAGCTGGTGTCTTTTAGTACTTGTATATTGCGTGGAATTTTTCCTTGGATGTAATCTATATCATGAGTTGTAATCACAAATAATTTTAAATTGGTTTATCATAAACTACTTTTAATAAAAGCGACGTTAAATATCCACTTTGTTGTCGAAAAATTCTATTGCGTTACCCTAAATTCCATTACGTTACCTTATGGTACCGGTACTCGGTAACGCAGTGGGCAAAGCTTTGTGAAACCATATTTAAAAAATAATAATAAGACATTACAGTCATTAATTACTCTGAATGAGCTTTAGTGCCCTAAAATAAACATAAACATGAAAAATAGTATTTTTTCTTACCTTATTTTTATTATTTTTTTGAGTTGAGCGGACAAACAATTATTACATTCGTGTTACCCGCACCTGTTTCAACCGATATCTTCTTCCTGATTGAATAAATAAATTCAGCTGATTAATGTGTACGTCCGAACATCATTTGTTGATCACGTGAGTGCCAAAAAAGTTGCCATATATATGTTTTTTAATATTCTATCGGTAACGCGACGGACGTAACGCAACGGAAAAAATGTCTGGGACATGAGTCAAATTAAAAAAAGTAGATTAAAATTAATTATTTTATATATAAATTGTTTACTGTATTAACTAAGGATGTAATGGATTGCTATAAAGCAACACAAAGTTCTGGTTATTCAATATTAAAAAAAAAACATGTATATAAGTTTTATAAAACGCTAATGGGACATGCGAAAATGTGTGTTTCACAAGTTTCAAAATTAAAAAAAATTATTCTGAAATAACTAAACAAACATTTTCTGAAAGAGTTTACTAAGGGCTTGTTAGGCTTTCACTTGGTTGTTAAATCATTAAGATCCGATAATTTTTAACAAAGTTATTGGAATTCAAACTTACGGGCAGCGGAAGGCGGGTGTTTTTTGAAAATGACCCCTGTGCATCAATTAGAGACTAAAAAAGGATTTTTTTTACTATAAACGACTTGATTTAAAACTACCACACTTGCATTTTGTTACAACAGTATTGTAGCACCTAATTTAAAACTATTTCTTTCCGTGTAGGAATCATATTGGAGAATCCCTGGACATCTCAATTTGGAAACATTAAAATCCCACTGCAACTTGCTTGAAAAAGCCCTGGAAAAAACATTAACAATTCCCGAAGAACCAACTGAAAAAAATAACGGAAACCAATCGTCAGACGATGACGATGTTTTCGATAGAATAAAAAAACAAGTTAAAGAAATCAGACTTAAGGAAAAAATTAAGGAAAGCGGTAGAAAAAGGGGCAAAAAAGAGGTTCAATTTAACGAAGAAATTTTTGCCAAAAAAATCGACCACCACTTCCCTCAACCTAACGATAACAGCGAAGATAGCAGTGATGTTTCAGAAGCTCACAGTTCCAAGAAGAAGATAAATAAAAGAAGAATCGCTCCTACGGAAGATAGCGATGAGAGCAACGAAAGCTTCGCAAATAAATTCAGCAAAAGTAATTTAGTACCAATAAATGAAAGTGAAGATAGCAATGATTTACCAGAACCAGCAAGGAAAGTAAATAAAAGAAAAATTCAACGTTTTGATGATAGCGAAGACAGCAATGATGTTCCTAGTTTAACAATAGCTGAAGATGATGAAGAAAGTGAAGAAGAAAATGTTCCCAAAAAGAAACCTGGAAGAATCATGGACAGTGATGATGAAGATTCTGAGGAAGACAAGGAAAATGATACTGATGTAGTACCAATAAATGAAAGTGAAGATAGCAATGATGTTCCTAATTTGATAATAGCTGAAGATGATGAAGAAAGGGAAGAAGAAAATGTAGCCAAAAAGAAACCTGGAAGAATCAGGGACAGTGATGATGAAGATTCAAATGAGGGTGTTCAAAAAACAACATCTCAAAAAGCTCAGAACAAAAATAAAGTTGGAAGAATAGAAGACAGCGGTTCTGAGGAAGACAAGGAAAATGATACTGATGCTGCCAATGTTGCCAATGAAGCAGAATTGAAGAGAATCCGATCGAATTCTTCTTCAGATACGGAAAAACCTCAACCAAAGAGAAGCAGGGTTTTGGATAGCGATGATGAAGATTAACCTTTTGGTTTTGCGGTAGTTTTAGGTTTTTAATTTATTATTATTAGTTTGTTTTTAAGCTGTTCGGTTTAGGTTACATTTTATTTGTCAGTTTGTGTGTTTTTTTATTAAATAAACGTAGTAATTTAGATATTGTTTTCTTTATTTCAGGACCTTGGAAAAAACAATAAAAAAAATTAAAAAGCAAACTTTTGCATTTATACATAAGTTTTTAAAATATGTTTAAAAAAATGACTTGCGGCGCCATCTATAATTGGGCAATAAAACATCATATTAGACAAACAAAAATCTGTACTTAAGTACAATGTTTTCTGTAGTTTAAGCTTTAACTACTAAACGTTAGAGGCGCCATAATCCAGATACTTTCAAGTATTTGTTTTTCTTAAAACAACAAATGCTAAAAATACGGTGAAATGCCCATTTTTGTGAAGGTTAAAATGTCTTCAAAAATGTTAGGGATTTTAATTTTTTTTTAATTACGGATGTTTTATAATAAATAAAATTTTAAAATGCACTATACAAAAAAATTCTTGATTTCTTTTGATTTGGCTGTTTTTTTTTTGTCTTTTTCTACCCACAAAAAATGTTTTAAGAATTTTTTTACTAAATCAAAAAAGTTACCATTTAAAAAAAACGTTTTTTCAAATACCAATAACTTTTCTAAAAATTGACTAAATGAGACGTTTTTTGTACTTCTACGAAAAAATAAATTAATTTTTTTAATTTAAAAAAAAATAATAATTTTCGCCTTTTGAATTATTTTCTTTTTTTTTCATTAATAAAACATTAATTTAAAAAAAAAAAATAAAAAAATATGGAACTTGACAACAAATTTTTTTAAATATTTTTTCTGAAAATTTAAAATCAAAAAATTAAATTCAGACAAATCGATAATTTCTCTTTCATAAATAAAAAATTGACGGATATAAAAAAACTGAAAGATTATATAAAACTTGACATCCAAAATTTTTTTTTGAAGAGTACAATAATTATTAAAATCAAAAAAATAAAAAGTCGATAATTTTTTTTAAGTACATTTAAAATCAAAAAAAGCCCCAATTTATAAATTCAGCCAATTCGATAATTTTTTCATAAATAAAAAATTCATGGATTTTCTAAAAAGTACATTTAAAATCAAAAACTCGAGTTTAGATCTATTTGGTCAATTTTTAAATTCAGACGCCTAACCCTTTTGATTTGACTGATTTCTTTATCTTTTCTACCCACAAAAAAATGTTTTCAATTTTTCCAAATTTTTTTACCAAACAATTTTTTAAAAAAACGCTCATTTTTTTTAAATACACATGACTTTTATAAAAATTGACTAAATTTAAACTTCCAAGAAAAAGATACAAAAGCATTTCAAATTCTATGAAATTTTTTAATTTTTTTATAAATCATTAATTTTCGCCTTTTTAATTATTTCTTTTCTAACATAAATAAAAAATTATTTTTCTAAAACAAAAACGGAAAAATTATATGGAACTTGACAATTTTTTTTTATATTTTTTTCTGAAAAATAAATGTCTATGCATAATTTTTCAATTCAGACAAATCGATAATTTTTTTCATAAATAAAAAATTGAAGGATTTTCTACAAACAACTGAAAAATTGGATAAAACTTAACATCAAATTTACAATTAAAATCAAAAAAATTTAAAAAAACGTCCCATTTGGTAAATTTTTAAATTCAGTCTAATCGATAATAATAATAATAATAAAACCAAAAACGATCTTTCAGTTTTGACACCCTCTGTCTTGGTTATTATTATTTTTTTACAGAGGTAAGTTTAGTCTATTTGACATACATTTTTTGTTAGGGTTTTGAAAGTAAATTATCATATATTTATATTTATTTATTTAAATTATGTAGATATAATATACATTTAAAAAAATTATACGTCCCCCAAAGCAGCGTTTATTTTGGAGTAAAGTTGTTTCCTTTGAACATATGCACCAGTTAAGAAATCCGCATGATTCATTAAAATATCTGGATCTGAATTTTCGGGTAGTTTATACCATGTCCTTTTTGTTGGCGAAAGTAAGGAATAAAGTACCTCTATATCCTATAAATAATCTTTAAATTATTAACATCTACTAAAATATTTTTTCCATACAGGCTCAGTTGTGAGGGTATCTTTGTTGGCAGAAATAAGAGTGGTATGAACAGGTATGTTTGAGGTGACATAGTAGGGAGGACTAGAAGTACCATATCGACGGAAATTTTCCAAATAACCATAATCATACCATCTAAACTTGCCCTGACTGTTAATTATTTGGCTACCATGATTTACATTCTTTTTAGTTATAGGACAGTTTCCAGTGTACGTTGCAATTGGTAATAATTGCTGTAAAACAACATTTTAAAACATTCAAATATCGATAATAAAAAACATTACAGGCAATATGTTTGGATTACTAGGTCCTAAAAGCTCTTGTAAAAGCACATAGCAAGGTCCAATTCCAGGAGCATTTTGGCATCTTTCTACAAGGAAGTCAGTTTCGATTTTTATTATACCTTGTAGAAGCTATAAAAGCCATAAAAGCTAAAACAAACAACATAAACGTAGGTATGGATTTTTAAAATTACTTATATAATATTTTTGCAAAACAGTTTTACTTTACCATATTTAAAATGGAATTTTGTATGTGCTTGACATTTTTTTATCATTTTAGGCTCATTGAAAGGGGTTTACCTAATTTTTTTTCAAATTTTTTTTACCAGCTTATAAGGTACCTATAATCAAAATTAATTTTTCGAATTAAGAGTATTTTTGTTAATGTAATAGGTAATATACCATTTTTTTAATGTACTTACTTTTTATCGATAAAAATTAATTATTAATGTAGGCTAATAATGATTTAATTGAAAATATTTAAACTATTTTTTTGTAAAAAATATAAACAAATATAATATAAAAAGTTATTTTTAAAATCAGTTTTTTGCCAAAGAAATTAGACAGTTTTGTATGGATTTTTTTCAAAATTAAAAAAATTACATACAAAACAAAAATCAATTTTCCTTGAAAAACGAAAAAAGTGAGTTTTAACACTTTTAGAGAAAAAATAATATGTTGTAAAATATTTATATACAAATAAAATATATAGAAAATTGAAAAAAAATTACCAGAATGTGAAAAAAATATCAGCCCAATAGAGATCTCTAGTAGCACAAACGGTTAAATAACTAGTATTATAAGTAAATTCACCGAAATCCAAGTTAATTGACGTTTTTTTTTAAGTTGGGTTTTTAACCAATTAGTTGAATTATCCAATTAGTTTTTTTACGGTTATTATAAACTAAAAAAACCTTTAAATTAACCAACTAGTTGCTATTACTTAAGAGTTAATTTAAAAGGTATTTTTTACTATAATTTAACTTTAAAACTAACTGATGAGTGAAACAATACTTCCAAGTTAAATAAATGGTTAATTTTTAGTTAATTGTAACTTTTAAAATAACCTTAATTTACCTTAGTAGGTTATTTTAGAAGTTATATAACGTTATATTAACTTTAAATTTTAATCAATAAAACTGGTAAAGTAGTTAATTTTCTTGTTATATTTTGGTTAATTTTAACTACAAATTGAACCTTTTGGTAAGTTAACGACAGTTTTGGTTAATTTGAGTATATTTTTTAACCAACAAGTTACCAAATTTATTTTAACTAAATGGTAAATTAACGTTAATCAACCAACTCGTTAAAAAAGTGATGGTTTTGCAGTTTTCATTGTTACCTACATAGAAAAATAATACCAGTTGGCTTTGTGTTTTGTGTGCTTATTCTTGGGTTTTATTTCTTATTCATTTAATCATTTCTGTGTTCTTATTATAGTGTTATAATGAAAATTTTAACTATAATGTGTTAAATGTAACCAAATTGAAACCAAAACCAAAGAGTTATAAATTACTGATGGGTAAATAAAGTAGTTAACTTAAACACAAGGAAATAACTAAATGGTTTAAATAAACTTGCAGGTTAATTTATATTGGTTAAATAACCAATTAGTAAAATTTTGATTTTGATTTCAAATATAAGGTAATTTAAATAAACCAATAATAAAAAATAGTATTATTTTATGTTTGAAAGTATTTTAAATCAATTTTAAGTAAAATAAAAAATAAATAATTTTTTTTTAAATTTTTATTTTCTTTATTTCTTATTTTTTTTGAGCGCGTTTAAAATATAAAAGTATTATGAGCCATTTCATCAGAAAAAAAATGCCCCATTGGTTTTTCTCCTAGAACTACCTCTTTTAAATATTAAAATGAAGATATTAATATTCAGGGGAGACATTTTATTTAAAATCTTAACTCATAGATCTATGCTTACTTGGTGTAATATAATATACCTACTTGGTAAATTATAATTATATTAAGTTAAAATAAACTTAAAATGGTTGGTTTTTTCACTTTAGTTTAAGTTGACTAAAGAGTTAAAAAGCAGTCAAAAAAGGGTAAAATTAACCAAAAATTACCAAATATTAATTTTTTTTAACCGACGTATAGTAACCAAGAAGTTAAATTTACTTAACATAACGTTAAATTAACCATGATTTTTATTCCCCACTTATTACATTAATTTAAGGTTAATTTAACGTTATAGTACAATATAACTGTAAATTAACCAGACATAACGTAAATTTAACGTTAATTTAACCAGTTGTGCTACTTGGGGAGTGGTAAAGTGAAAGCGTCGCTATTTTGTCATTGAATTAACCAATGTAAAAAATGTCTTACATAAAATGCTATCCGCCCACCCTTATACAAATTCGCCGCTGGAGCTAGAGCAATAATCCCTTTGACGTTATTCTGACAATGGCTAACATTCGTAGCACAATACGCAAAACTAACGGTGGTACCCATAGAATGACCTATGAGGTAAATATTACCACTATTCTGAGTTATTTCAGCGATTTTGTCCACTTGCGCTGGCATATCTATGGTTCCCATCTCATGGAAACTATAATCCCAAAACCTGTCGTCATCCTTGGTGAAATGGATGTTGCTGGAGTATTCCGAACCCCTCGGGTTTCCCAACCAGACATCCCAGCCTTTATAAGCGTAATAAATGGCCAGCGAATTGGCACCTTGTAAAAGAAAACATCTGCAGTCCCTGCTGATGCCG